CCAGTGGCAATGCGAGCATTGCCTGGTATTCGGAAGAACAATCGACAGAAGCGTGTGTATTGCATAGAAATGAACAAGAAGTAGGGAGGAATGTTCATCCTTTATCTATTTTAACAAAGGAAGAATAGGAAAAATATTCAAGTCAAAATGAGTGTGTACAGAACGCGTTACAAACACTGATAGTTAATGTTGTCGGTCTCGCTTCAAGTGGCAATGTAGCCGGAATGAATCGACGGAGGTGAAATGGTCAAGCGAAGAGGATGTCGAACAGGACAGAGTAGTTCAATAGCCCGGCGGTGTACATGGCGGAGCGACCGGTGGAGGTGGTGGACCAATGTGCTCGTGCGTATTGGATGCCATCAGGTAACCGGAATGCAAGCTGCCTGCAGAGGGGCCAGCAGTCAAATAGGCGGTGGCTGAATGTGGAACATTTGACAAAAACAGAGCGTGACTCTGATCCCGATAGTCTGCCCAGTTCGGGTGAGCTTCCAGTTGCTCCGTGACCTGTTTCGTGGCAAAATGAAATAATCCAAAGTCACAGATCAGGCAAATAACAAAATGCCCTTTGGTGCAGCAAAACAGCCAGAATCTCAAACATCACAATTTATCTCATGCTACACCATTGATTCCTCGGCAAACGGCTGTTAGATCATGGAATGCGTCATTCTTAGTTCATTTTTGAAGGGTAGCATCACACCAACAGAATTCAATTCACTTAGAACAAGAAAACGGTGACTACGACAAAATATCGGAGGAATAGGCTAGTGACGTTGACTAATTCAACTAGGTCTCTGTGTACGATTCATAGGCAATATTCAGTATGCTCGGGGCTGGGTGTCTAGGGTTGCGGCTGGTCACCCTTCCCTAGCACCATGCAAAATCCTCTGATACGACCAAGCGTCTCAAATAGCCTCTGCTGAGGAAGCTCCAGTCACAGTCTTCGCGTGGCAAAGGTGTTTCCCACCGAAATGAAAGGACGAGGAGCCAATACCCGGGGATATAATCGGGTTAGTGAATCTTTGGCAGTTCACCTAGGGGAGTTGTCTAGGAACCCTCATTCCAAACCAACCAACAAGAGGTGTACGAAGCACACCCACAAATTTCCCGTTGTGGAAACGGTCATTGGCTCAATTGGGCACCTTGGACCTTTGACCCGTCCGAAGCGCGTATGATCCGAGGAACTAAACACCGGCTCCCAATGGACTGTGGTTTTCGCACACCGCCCTGCTGCCTTGCGGGTCAGGCTTTGGCTAGCCGAATGCTCCGGTTGTGGATTCTTCAAGAAAATTCCCCTGCCTTGGCCTGGGTAACCTGGCCATATTCGGCCCACAAGTCATGAAACGTTTTTCTTTTTAAAAAAGATTATTATACTATGGCACGCAGTCTGGTCTCAGATGAGTGTGAAATATAGAATATAAACCAGGAACAATGAAGATATCGTACACACAGAAAAACAAATTATTATGATCAAACAGTTAAGATTACCAGCTTATCGCTCTAAAAGACGTGATGAGGAAAAGCCAGATTGAAGTCGGTATCCTTAATACAATAATAATATTAATAATATTAATAACCACTCTGGCACTTTGGAACCATTTACCGGATTCGTATGACAGAAGTAGCCACAGTGCCTATTGAAAATCAGTCGAATACGAAATCACAACCTTCTTGCATTGGAAGATTGAGGATCAAAACAACCCAGTATCCGGATTAGAAGAAACAAGTGACTAGCATGTGTTTACATGATTCGTTGGCTAATCAGTAAGTGCAAACTGAGCCGGGGACTGGGCTCCCTCACAGGCAAAACAATGGAAAAAACAGTTAAGACTTTTTCCTGCAACACGTCAAGGAAACACTATCACGCATTGAAGTTGAACACAGTTGTAGTCGACTGGACGAGACGTAACTATCCTTACCTTCGATCCGTATGTGGGACTACGTTGCATAGCTTTCAGAGCCTTAACCAAATAGGCACATGTTTGACCAGGTTCTTTCACCGAACTGGGTAAACCGTTTCGCAACAACTGGAGCACGTAGCTGATCAGGTCGTGCTTTAAAGCCTACAGGGGGAGAAAAAACAGAGAAGTTGGTGACGGATCAAAACAGCAACAAAAAACGAATAACATCAAACTACTCATGAGTAGTCCATGAAATAAAGCAGCAATAGGGATAGAATAAATGGAAGGATGAAGGATGCAGTAGACGGATATAACAACAAGCACCCGTGAAAGCAGACACAGCTCTGAGACGATAAAGTTTCCCGGCACGTTTCGATTTCACTGATTTCACTGGAATTGGTCACAGATATTCCCAATTACGGTCAAACGTTTTCAAAAATGTTCAACTGATTTAAGCGTCTTCGAAGAACAATTGTTTGTGCACAGGAAAATGTCCGGTTCTTGCCTAAAAAGATTTACGTGTCGTGGCACCAAAATCGATGAGCATGCATGATAAACACACAGTAACAACTTCTCCACAACCCCCAACACAAGCACTTTAGTTTGGCGGTAGACGGCTTCGCTGTTGTTCGATGCATATATTGCTGGGGTCGTATGTGGTTCGCCACCCACCAAGTCAAGGGCTAAGGTTCCCAGTTCCCATGAGGGAACAGTAGGTCCTCGGGACTATAATGTGTACCCTTGATTTTATTCATCACTTTACCGACAAAAAGAATCTGCACGTGTATAAATTACCGCGTTTACAAATGGGAGTTGGTCCCCATTTGTAAGAATGGCTCGATCAAACGAGGATGTAATTGAGACAAAAAGACAAACAAACAATCAAAGTCAAAGTGGTGCGAGTGGATGCGAGTCAATCAGCCGTTTGAAATGATGTTCAAAAAATGAACGGACGGACGCTGATTTATTGATCAATACGTGTCACCAGCGAAATCTCATTGGGCTTTAAAAGTCACGGATATAAAACCCGGATTTGGTGGATTCTTTTTTCAAGTGTTACTTGCGCAAGACCAACGCGTAACAAATGTGAGAAGGCATTTATACAAACAACGGGAAGAAGCTAATACTGGACAAGTTTACTTACCTGGGCAATAAGTGGATCACTGTCTGGACTGTCAAATATGCAGAACAAAGTCTCCCCGACGAGACCCAACTCTTCACCGATACAACAACTGACCACACGTAACAATCCACCGATTGTGTCCCGTTCAGCCATTGCTTGAACACAGAGCTGTGAGAAAGAAAAACAATTGAGATTCTGACTGATGCGAATCGAGGAAGAAAGCTTAGAAAATCGATCACAATTCACACTGGTTGTGAGTGTTCTATATCTCTTCATTTTGATGACAACTGATCAGCTATGCTGATTTACATTATGGTGGGAAAGTACAACGTTTTGCATACATAAACTGCCGGCACTAACCTTACTGGAGGACATCCGATGCAGGAGGAGAACAGCAGCTTTAGCGCCTTCCGGATCGTTGATCTCCCCGAGCAAGTCCACAACACGATGCAAATAGCCCTTCCGTGGTAGAGAATCCAACAGACCGGGACGATCTTTCAGAACGGCCGCACAGGATCGTGTGAGTAATCGTAGGAGTAACGCGGATGAGGGAAGTTTTCCAGCCGCCTATAAACAAATCGAACAAAAGCAATGGACGGAGTAAACACCGCAGTGGTATGCTGAGCAGAGGCTGAACGACAGTCAAAAACAGAGAAATGTGTTTTCATGGTGAAGAAATACAGTAGTTACCTCAATCCAACTGTCCAATACACTGTCCAGAAAGACTTCCGGTCGACGTAGCACCCAGCCCGGACTGGCCACATACAGATGCAGATAGACTCCGGCCACAACGACCGGGCCAAGCGAGGACAGGACTTGTTGCTCTTCCGTGCAATCTGCATTCGTTCTCATACGTTCAGTGGCGTTCTTCATCAGAACCTCCGCGTAGGATACGGTAAACGAGTCCGGAAGGGACCAACGTATTCGCGGATTCTTCAACTGCGTCTCATAGAACCTGACAAAAACGACAGAAATAAACCGTCGAAAGATAAGGAATATATCGTGTTTTCCCGGTAAGATGACTGATTATATATTAGCTTTCATTGTTCATATTGCCGTCTTGCAATGCACCCGTGATACAGTTGTCAGCTGCGTTACTGCAATGCCGTCGTTGATTGCTATACCGCATTCTCCAAACGAAAAGGACCTGAGAGTTACAGTTCGTGAGGATCTAGGATGCCCACACATTGCACAATATCTTCATCAAAGGCCATAAAACACGTTGGATTGCTAAAACGTGTTTTTGGATCATGCGAAACAGACCTATTGCCCCGTTTGATATCAGCATACATTAGAGCACACACTGAGTGTGCTATACAGGCACTCGAACGTCTACAGAGAACAGCAAATAAAATGGCCAAAGGGATGCAATCTAGGACCTACGGTGAAAGGTTGCAAATTCTCGGACTCTATTCGTCTGAATACCGTCGAATACGAGGAGACATGATCCTCATAAATCAACCTAGATACCCGTGTCGTACTCTACTAACACTATCCAGGAATAGCCTCTGAGGACATCCGTTTAAACTTTTGCTCAAAAAAAGTCGGCTCGACTGCAGGCGTCGTTCTATCAGCCTAAGAGTTTGTGATACCTGGAACTCTCTTCCACCTCACGTTGTGTATGCACCAAGCATCGATTCACTCAAGTCACGATTGGATGAAGCATTGAAACACTCAACTTTTCAGCATTCGTGAGTGAACGTCATAATTTGATATTTAATTGTACTATTACCAACCGAGCTACATTTGCTCTGTCGTTGTGATCACTTCAGGTCATTTACTGTTCGGTTATATCCGTCGATGATGACTCTTACCTGAAAAATGGATCACTTGGACCGAATAGACAGTCCGGATGATTTCAAATCATGAAGCGGACATAATTAGTCAGTCAAACCCTAGTGCAGTTGGCGCATTGACGGGAAACGTAAAAGTTGCACTTGGTAATAATACCTTCTCGTTTGATAAGCCAACGATGAATTGTTTTGAAAATCATCATCTCGATAGACTAGTCATATTGTCTCCAGCGTATTGAACCACCCGGTAACTAGAGCTAAACTAGGGTTGAACTTCGGAGTAGGGCCTATATCGGTTCAGTTCGGTTTTGATAACCACTAACCATACATTTTCGTGCAGTGTTTTTGGAGGTGAAGGAACACTGGAATGTTGAAAGTAGTACCAGAGTGAAAACGGAGACTTCTGGTAGGCCGATATCGTAAAAAGAGATTACCCAGTGTAAACGGCTGCACAACAAAACTTACGTTCGGGTATGTTCCATCAAAGTAGTTGTCAGCTTTTGACGGAAGTCTGCATTCCAGATCAGTTCCGGATTTTCTTGATCGGCTGAAAAAAATACGAACAGTCAAACAAGCTACTGCCGAGAGCAACGTTATCGAGAGAGAAAATAGGTTAGCACACATAAGGTAATCTGAAGACGGATAAACAGACTAGATAAACTGGCATCATGAACCTATCCGACCAGTTGGATCGATTCAATTATTTCCAAATATGGCACTTT